ATACGGTCTGAGGTGATGACTCCTTTGGTATCCAAAATCTTGATCGGTCTATCTTGTTTCTGTGTTTGCCACCTATCCCAGTACTAAAGTATTTCCTTGCGTTCTTCCTCTATCAGTGCGAATACCCTTACAAGGTTATTCGCCCTGGTCTTTTGCAAACGACAGAAAAAATAAGTTTGATTTAAAGTTAAGCATGCCGCACGAGGAGCGGCTACGTCTGTGGTTTACGTTGGTAGGATGGTTGACTAGAGTAGAGAGTGTGGGGGCGCGCAGGCTTGATGCGCGCGTGAGTCTTATTGTTGATGATTGAAGAACCGGCGTGATCGCTGGCCGGATTTTGTTTTTGATTAAATTAGGATTAAAAAGATTAGGTCTCGTTGAACAATGCGCTTGCCTGTGACTTGTGCGTACGTGCAGAGGACGACGTAGACAATAATGTGATTATGAAAAATGTTTCGGTAGGCCTGCGCGTCACGCAGAATTAGTTTATTTTAGGTGTCCGCCAGAGCTAGACCAAGGCTTGGGGCTACCATTAGCGGTTGCGACGTCCAATTTTCGTCGAAAAATTTCAGGGGTCGAGGCCCCGGTGGGGCTATCCCCCTTGGGCTTGCCGTCGGCAATGTCCGATCGACGGTGACACCTTTTAAGTAATTCTTTTTAGCGCCATATTTCTAATATTATCTTGTTATACTCCGACGTGTCGTTGACCCGGACGAGACACCGGACTTAATGGCCGTCACGGCAGTCGAGGACCTGGAGTGCGCGCCTCGTTTGACGGGTCCGCATGTCCAGGATGCCGTTGAAAGTCCTCTACCACACCGTTGCTAAAACTAGAGCGCGGTCAAGGTTTGCGTTTGTAGTTGCACCCAAGGGGGAAAGGGTCGGTAATGCTGAATGTATACTGTAGCGGACCTCTGGTTGGCCTGTGAGACCAGCCCCTTGGCCTGCTCTCACAGGCCTGTGTTCTATTCGGGGGCAGTCCAGWCCAGTCCAGGCCGGTACCTCTGTCGGTACCAACCAGTCTAGTCCAGTCCAGTCAGTCCGCTGGGGTATACCCCAGCAGTTGTCTGTTTCATTGGCATTCTTCACTTGCACATTTTGGAGTACGTGCATTGGAGTCTTGCGTGGGGAGCTGCGTTGTGCCATCTCGCTCCCCCCTTCTTCCTCCATCTCCATCTCTACCACCAGCGGAGCACCACACCTGGTGGGTCCGCTACATTGGTATCGGAGTGGGAACGGTCCCCGCTCCCACCCACCTCCCCGCTGTTTCTTGGCTGTTTCTCACGGAAAACAGAGGGAAAAAGGCGCAGCAGCAGGAGGGCTCCACGTGACGAAAAAGGAAGTGACATCACGACGCGTGCGCGCAAGCGCCAAGGCCAAGGCTGCCGCCGCATTACGCACACGCCACGTGCCCATGCTGCCCGCTGCCCCGCCCCGCCCCGCTCCCGGATATATCTATTCAAGATCCGGGATGCAGTTGCTGCTGCTGGGGTTTGAACCCAGGTGCCTGCCAGGCCATGCGCATGTGTAAGCAGCCTTATAACACACTCGCCACGGAGTGTTTATGGCCTTGTAGCACGACACACTCGTGTTGAAGAGGTGCCGTACTGACTATTTACCGCCCCCGCCCCCCCCCGGAGCAGCGAGCAGCGGCCAGCAAGGCAGCAACGGGAGAGGCTGCTATTTACCCCCCCCCCCCTTGTGGCTGCTGCTGCCTGTGCACGTGGCCACCTGCAGTGTCACGTGGCACTTTGCTATGGACTTGAAGACCCCCTGTGTTTTAGGGGCTGCTCTACACCGGTGAGGGTATGCTCACACAACATACCCTAGATCTGCAGATTTGCAGCAACTCAAGATTTCCCCCTGGCTAGGGGGCTGTGTGACTGTGGCAGTAAGGTGGCTGATCAAGATCTCAGCCAACCCTAGATCATCATCATCATCCACCAGGGTATGCTCACACAGCACACCCTGGATCTGCAGTGTTGCAACTAGGGGCTGATCAAGATCTCAGCCCCCCTCCATCCTCCAGTTGGATGGCTGCAGCCTCTTACTTTCTTGATCACTCTCCATCTTTCCCCATCCTCTTTCTCTCCCATTCTCTCACCCTCCTCTCCCCCCAAATACCACCACATCATCCCCCACCTCCCACTTCATTTTTTTCTCTCCCCTACCTATTTCTTTCTCTTCTCCTTCACTTTTTCATTCCCATTCCCCCCCCTACTTCGAATTTTTTCTGTTTTTTTTTCTTCTTTCCATCTCTCTCTTGATTTATCTTTTATCTTTTCCAAAAATTCGAAATATCTTCTTTCCCACCTTCTTTTTTTATTTTTTGATTTATTTTATTTATTTTTCTATTTAGTTTGAAAATTCGATTTTCTTTACGGCAACCCTAAATCTGATTAGGTGTTAGTCTTTACTACTTTCGGCACACGTTTTGAGCCCGTGGGGGTAACGAAGTGCTGCCGAAATTTTTTGTTTTTTTTTTCACTTAGTCTTCTCGGCACACTTCGACCCCATGGGGGTAACGAAATGCTGCCAAAATTTTTAACAAATTAGATACTTCATTCCTCCCCACCTCCTCATCCACTTTTTACTTATTTATTTATTTATTTATTTATCTCTTTATCTATTATTTCTTTATTTATTTTCTGAAATTTCTTTTTTATTTGCGGCATCTTGACACCTAGTGTGCTCACCTTGGTCTCTTCCTTCCCCTTGGCAGGGTGGCCACGACGGAGCTTCCTCCTCCGACGCCCCCGACCCGACCATCTTGGTGACTGTCCACGCTCCTAGCACGACGGCCGCCACGAGCCAGACCCTCCCTCAGTCTACGGGCGCACCCGCCCAGATTCCAGTCACGACGGCCACGGGACCACAACCCGCTACCATGGTCTCAACTTTTCCGGGTGCCCCACTTCTCCGCCCTCTTCGCACGACCGCAGCGCCATCTGGCTCTACCCCTTGTGGGATGCCTCGCGCCGCTTGTGCGTTTCCTTCTGCCACACCTCGCTCGACCTACGTTCGAGGTCTCGAGGACGCGATCGCCCAGCACCGGGCCGACCTCGCCCTCTCACGCCTTCAGCCACCCCCACCCTCACAGGTGGCCGCGCCTTCCGGCGCACCCCCTTCGTCCTCTATTCTTCCGTCCATGCAGGCTCGCTTCCCTCGCCCTGCACCCTACCCATCTCCATCCTACCTCCTCCCCATCCCCTCGGTTGCTGCGACCTCTTCTACCGCAGCTCCCGCGCAGCCCGCTGCTGTTTCCCCCGCCGCTCCACCATGCGGCCTGGGCGTACAGTCAGCTGCGCCTCCCCCTCCAGGACCTGCGCCGACTTATTCCGCCGTAGCGCAGTCCCCTGCTCCCCTTTCCCCTCGCCGCCAAAACGGTGGTGCACCACTCATCTGCTTGTCGGACATTCCCTTGTATGAAGGTACAGGCATACGCATGTCTAGGTGGCTGCAGTCTGCCACCCGCACGCGCCAGCTCATGGGCGCCACACCCGACACGTGGGTGGGTCACCTCTCCACGCGCCTGCGTGGTGCTCCTTTCGACGCCTGGGCGGATTTTTATGCTTACTCCCTGCGTGAGGGTCGGACTCCCGACCTTCATGGATTTTCAGGCGTTCCTCGAGGATCGCTTCGGAACCCGATATGACGTGACTGGCGCCTTCGAGCGTGTCGTCACTACACGGTGGTCCGGCTCTGGTGGCGCTGCCGGCCTGGATCGCCACATCCAGGTCTTTCAGGACGCCCGCCTCGTTTGTGACGTGGCGTTCCTTCCCGAGGCTGCCCTTATCGATCGTTTCTTGGCCAGCCTCCCGCTCGAGTATCGCTCCGAGCTATGGCGGTACAAGTTCACATCGGCCCCGCAGGCTTATGAGGCCGCCAGGAACCATGAGCGGATGCAAGCCCGTCTTCACCCCACCTCCTCATCCCAGCCTCATCGCACGGGTTACGCCTCCTCCTCCTCTCACGACACTTCCCAGCGCCATTCCCCTTTCCGCGGTCGCCCCCGCCGTTCCACGCAGCAAGGCCGCCACTTCTCGCGCCGCTTCAGCGCGCTCGAGTATGGGGCGCAGGACGCTGGTGCCCCGTTGTCGCCAGAGGGTGATCATAGTGATGACCTCGACCTCGGCGATGCCGTCCAGCACCACCTGGAGGACCCTACTCTCCCTATGGCTGAGCGCCTCCAGCTTATCCTCTCCACCCTTTCCTGGGCACGCAGCCGCCCTGGTCAAGCTAGCGCGTCGCCCCCCGAGGTCCCTCAGCAGCACCTCCCTCAGGGTTTTGTTCCTCCTCGCGGTGTCCTTTCCGCTGAGGAGCGCGCGGCTATTATGGGCCGACGTGGGTGTTTGTGATGCCGTCAGGACGGTGATACCTCCTCGCGGTGTCCTTATACCACCGCCCTTGACCGCCACTACGCTGACCTTTCCCGCCAGCGTCGTGCTCAGTCCCCCCCCGGCGCCTCACATCCCCGCGGCGCCTCCTAGCCACGGTGCAGTGTACACCTGCGCCCTCCTCAGTAGTGGGCTTCCCGACATCTCCGTCGCGGTTCGCCCCTCTCGCTACTGGAGTTGAGGTTTCGCAAGACTCGACAGAGTGTACTCAACCCTCTGTCGCAGTACCGTCTGCGCCTCCACAGACCACCGTCTCCCCTCCTTCCCCGCCGCGACTACCGACGCGTCGAGCCATTCGCTCAGCCCGTTGCAGTGAGCAGCTCGCTACTCGCGAGGACGTTGTGTCCTCTCTTCTGGACTTGAGCATGCTCCAGGCTCGTCAGGAGCGACTCACCCTCCATGTCGCTGCACTGCGTTGCCTTCTCGCCATCCTCTCTGACCCTGATCGCAGCCTCCTGATCATCCCAGTACGACTCGGGACCTCCACGAGGGTGTACTCCGCGCTGTGGGATTCCGGTTCTCAGTGCGACTTCATTCACCCACGCGTGGTGAAAGAAGCTCGCTTACCCACGACAGGGTCTCCGACTCCCATCTCCGTTCCCTTAGGGGATGACAAGACCCAACGCTTTTTTGATTAGACGGTCACCGACCTCCCTTTCTTCCTCACTCTTGAGCCAACTGATCGTTTTTCGGCGTCTCGTCGCCACCGCTCCTCTGCACATTTCGATGTGATGGAGACGGGGTACGACTTCATTCTCGGCACCCCGTGGTCTCGTCGGTTCCGCAGCACCGAGGCCGATTGGGCGACGAACACTCTCGTTCTCAAAACGAAGTGTGGACAGACGTATCGCGTACCTTTCATAGGTACCACCGCGACACCACGCCCCGATCCTCCTCCCCCGGAGCCTTCCGTGCCCACACCACCTCCTTCTATCACTGTCACCTCGCCTCGACAGTTCGCCCACTTCATCCGACAGGACGACGTCACCTTCTTTATGGTGAACGTGACGGATCTCTTACACTATGATCCACCATGTCCCGACGTCGAGCTCATCCCTCTGGAGCCAGATCCTCCTTCTATCTCCATGGCTCCCATCTCTACTTCCGTCCCTCCGCCGTCCGTCGAGTCCACCCCGCCGTCGCATGCGGACGTTGACGCCGAGGAACTCACACGATATACGGCTGACCTGGAGCCCGCAGTTCGTGACCTCATCCGAGAGTACCACGACGTTTTTCCATCGTCGTTCTTGTACGCCGGCATCCCACCGATGCGTGACGTCGAACACTCCATTCAGCTTGTGCCTGACTATCGTGTTCACCACCAGGCACCCTACAGACTCTCGATCCCCGAGGCCACCGAACTCAAGCGTCAGCTTGAGGAGCTCCTGAGACTGGGTTTCATTAAACCCAGCAACTCCCCGTGGGGTACACCCGTCCTCTTTGCTCGCAAAGCGGATGGAACTCTCCGTCCTTGCATCGACTATCGCGGTCTCAACCGCTACACGGTTAAGAAAAGCTACCTTATGCCTCGTTCCGATGAGCTGTTCGACCGCCTAACAGGCAACCGTTTCTTTACGAAGATTGATCTTCGTAGCGGTTACCATCAGATCCGCGTCGCTGCAGCCGACCAGCCGTAGACCGCGTTCAGATCGCGATTCGGCCACTACGAGTTCACGGTGATGCCATTCGGCCTCACCAATGCACCCGCTACCTTTCAGAGGGCGATGAACGACATCTTCAGGGACATCCTGGAGCASTACGTTCTCGTCTACCTCGACGATATCTTGGTCTACAGTCGTACCCTTGAGGAACACCTCAGACACCTCCGTGACGTCCTTGACCGCTTGCGCAGACATGGCTTCTACGCCAAGCTGAGCAAGTGCCGCTTTGCCCAGCACAAAGTGGATTTCTTAGGACACTACGTGTCTGACCAGAGTCTCCACATGGACGACGCGAAGATCACTGCTATTGCAGAGTGGCCCGCTCCCACATCCGCCAAGCAGCTTCGCAGCTTCCTAGGCCTGACCAGCTACTATAATAATTTCATCCGGGGATACGCTAGGTGTTCCTACGTCCTTACCTCCACCCTCCTTCGGAAGAACCCACCCTGGGCTCGGACACCCCTCCACGAGGACGCCTTCCGCGCCCTCAAGAAGGCGGTGACATGCGCACCGGTTCTTCACCTACCCGATTTTGAYCGCCCTTTTATCCTTACCACCGATGCGTCAGACTTYGCTGTAGGAGCAGTGCKTTCTCAGGTCTTCCCCTCCTCTYCTGATTCCTCTCATCCYCGTATCCCTCGCTTCCCACCACCTACCCCTACCACTGCTTCCCGACTGACGCCTACTCGTCCAGCTACTGACGAGCCTTCTATTGACTATTCTCCCACCATCGCCGAGGACGGCACTGTCGAGTCTCGCTCATGTGACTGTCCGATAGCCTTCTACTCCCGTCAGCTCCTGCCCGCCGAGATAAACTACACTGCTGATGAACGTGAGGTTCTCGCAGTAGTTTATGCCGCTCGGCACTGGCGTCACTACCTGCACGGGGCACCGTTCACGGTGCGTACGGACAACTCTGTTGTCCAAGCTTTTCTGACAAAACCGAAGCTCACTCCTCGACAGGCTCGCTGGTCACGGTGGCGCGACCTATCCGAGTTTAGTTTCACCACTGAGCACATCAAGGGTGAAAATAATCGGGTCGCAGATGCCTTATCCCGTCGCCCTGACCACGACAAGGAGCAGATCCAGCTCTCTTCCATCTCAGTCACCACCGTCCACCACTCGGTGATCGACGAGTTTCGCACTCAGTACCGCCACTACCCCGACTATCGCAACATCTACGCGACCCTTCGGAGTGGCAAGACCGTCCCGAACTACTCTCTCGGGGACAACGGTCTTGTGTACTGGCACGGTTCACAGGGCACCAGAGAGCCCCGTATTTGTGTTCCCTCCACTGGACAGCTACGTGTCCGAGCAGTAGCAGAGTTCCATGACCAGGCAGCCGCCGGTCATATGGGATTCCACAAGACGTTGGCTCGTGTGAGCCGCCTGTACGTCTGGCCGAAGCGCAAGGACTTTGTGAACGACTACGTCGGAGAGTGTCCCACCTGTCAGGAGGTGAACAGTGCGAACCACCTTCCTTATGGGTTGCTCCAGCCTCTTCCTATCCCTGAGGGTCGTTGGCAGTCCATCTCGATGGACTTTATCGGTCATCTTCGTCCTCCGACCCCCCGCGGTCATGATGCTATCCTGGTCGTCGTCGACCGCTTCACGAAGCGTGCACGCTTTGTTCCGTGCCGCTATGCCATCAGTGCACGTGAGGTTGCCGACATCGTGTTTGATCGAGTCGTGCGTGACCACGACTTACCTCTGAGCATCATATCTGACTGTGACCCGCGCTTTACCAGCCGATTCTGGCGACGGCTCCACGAGGTATATGACACTCACCTCCGCTCCACGAGATCACGAACAGGACTCTCGGAGATATGCTCCGAAAGATTGTTCGTGACGACCAGCAGTGGGACCTCCATCTTGCCCACGCGGAGATAGCCTACAACCACGCCGTCTCGCCAGCCACGGGGATGTCGCCTTACTATTGCGACCTCGGCTACCACCCTCGTGTTCCCGCGGACTTCCTCCGACCGTCACAGATGCACCCCGACACGAGTTGTCCCGCACTGGATGATTGGGTTGCACATATGACGTCGATCATGAAGACCGCACATGAGCACATAGCCGCTTCCCAGCAGTTGTCTGTTTCGTTGGCATTCTTCACTTGCACATTTTGGAGTACGTGCGTTGGAGTCTTGCGTGGGGAGCTGCGTTGTGCCATCTCGCTCCCCCCTTCTTCCTCCATCTCCATCTCTACCACCAGCGGAGCACCACACCTGGTGGGTCCGCTACATATACAACCTACATTTCGGGTCCGGTGAGGTCGCGTGGGGGTGTGTCGTATTCGCAGGGTGGCCTTAAGTGCGACCACGAACTGTTTTCGTGTCCACGTCGAAGTTAACCTGTTATAGTATTTCGGGGAACTTTGAAGCAGTCACATCCGTGCTCGAGCCTCCAACGAGGGAACATACGGGAGCTGCACCCACCAGCAGGGGCGATATCTGCTGTAGCGGGTAAGTAGGTACCGACCAGGGGTTAGTCGGTAGTATCAGGCCGGACTTCTTCAAAGGACCAGTCGTTGTGCCTTCCCTCCAGTCTCCTCCCCCCCCCCTATGAGCGTCAACAGCCTCTGCTCAATGCTATTCGGCGGGGACCGACGGCATATCACTGAGTAACGGGTAGTCGGGATGGTCGGGCAACACTGAGCAGCAATGGGCCGATCGACAACAGCGGGCCGATCGACAAGCAGTGGGCCGAGCGACAAGCGGCGAGCCAAGCGGACAATGCCAGAGTGTTGTGGGGGGGCCGGCTACTACCGGGTGCTGCGCTACCAGTAGTGGAGGAGACAAGTAATGGAGCATGAGGCAAGGAATGAATCTGGGCGGCTTACCGCGCCAGGGGCGGTCGGGAATCGTGATAATGAAGAACGGATTGGGCGCAGTTAAGGAGAAGTAGCTCTCTCGGTCCTTAGCGAAATCAAGAGAGGTAAGAGGCAATCCCATGGTTTTGGCTTCGGGCGAATCTCCTTATGATGTCAGATTGAGTAGAAAGTTAGAGTAGGAAAAGGTTAGTAAAAAAAAAGAAGCGCGGATATGGCGGAGTGAAGGAAGAAGAAGAGAAGATGAACGTGCTTTGCTCATTCTTGTGCGGATTTAGATTAGGAAAGGTGGAAGATAGGGGTTTTGACAAGGGGCGAATTCGAATCCGGGGTTAAATTAGTGTGAAAGTTAGTATAGTAAGAATGATAGGGAAAACACTTTGCACCGAGGTTGGAGAAAGTGTGCAGTGTGAGAGAGTGAATAGTCGACAGTTCCCCCGATTCTCAACGAGGTTCGGCGAACCAAGACCCGTTTAAGGGTTTTTAAGGCGGTTCGAGTTTGATGGTGGAGTTAGATTTCGCGACAGGTTAGTAGATTAAAAGTTAGTAGAGAAATGGGTTGCGTGTGGTAAACGGGAAGGTTCGGATATGGCACAAATAAGAGACACGTACTTCCCTCGGATCCGATGGAATCGAGCGAGAGAGGATGCTAAGGTGAGGATCTAGACTAGTGTAAGTCGCTTGGTGAGGCTGATTTTCGGAACTAGCGGATCAACTTCTTTTTTTGCACGGTGTCGCGCGCAACGGTCCCACACCCAGACGCAAAAGTGATTTTTGTGTCGGATCTCACTGTCGTGTCACGCAGGAGTCACCTCAATGAAAAACACCACTCCGACCGTGCGCGCATGCTATACCTCTCGCGACTCCCTACGACAGGTTAGGGATCCCGCGAGGTACAACATACCTCCACCTGGGGGAGCTGTCACCATCCCTTAGGTGGGCGTATCCCCGCTGAGTTACTGACCCACGTGCGAAGGTTTTTACATGCAATCGCATAGATAGGCCAACCGAGGGCGTTTTCTCGATTGCCGTAGCATAGGCATACACGCGGTAAAACACCTTAAGACTGACCCGTACATCGTGCCCCGAGGTGCTAGCTTCCCCGGACCGACTATCTAATCAGGTCGACTTTTCCGGAAAGTCTTCCACGCTTAGCTAACTATGACAATGACTCTATGTTTCCTCTGTTGACTTATGAGGAAAAAAAACAGAGTTAAACCGCTTTGAAATCTCTCATTCTCAAAGAATCCTGAACACATGACTTCCTAAGCTCCGACCATCTTATGATCTCATTCACAGATATATATATAAGTATGTATGTAAGTCAGGAGAGCTGAATGACCGGTAGACCTCACTTTCACAATTGCTGTGTCCCGTGTCCGAATATGCCAAACGATCCCAAATTCAGAAGTCAGTTCAATACCCAACACCTGTGTAAATGCAAGAAATATCACATAGACGCATACAGATGCAGAAACAGAATGCGCTATAAGCGTCAACCTTTAACCCATTCATAGCAGGTCCCTCACACCCCAAAACCTTGAAAACAACATTCCTTCCTAATTCTGACTCCTTTTACCCCAACCCTTCACATTTTCAAAGACCCCTGAGTGTGACTTGGACTATTTAGGCATAGATACAGGGGAAGATCTATCGGTTTCCTTCTTAGGTCTTGTCTTAGGTGTGGGTATCAAGCCATGTGGAAGTTGAGCATGAGTTCTACCGACCTGTTATTCAATGATAATAAAATTTGCAGTTCCTTACGGTTTTCTTCCGCAGTCCTCTCCAAGAGTGATGAACCTGAAGACAAAGCACAATCCGAGTCCCATCTAAGTTTGTGACCAGAGTTCGGTACTCATCGTCGACGTACTGTCTAAGGTCTACCCTGATCTAATTGTCGGTCCATTGTCCGGTTGGTCTAGACAACGAACAAAATTAATTCCCACCCTCTTCGTCCCAGCGGTTCTACTTAGTTTTCCCTTTTCAAAGGTTATTTATAAGCCCCATGTCTTTAGTAATCATAAGCAATCCTATCCATTCCATTTCAGAGAGGAGTGAAAAGATCAAATAAGAATTTTCAGGTTGATCAGCCTCTCTGGGTCAAGATCTCACTTATCATAGCATCAGACGTTAGCGAGTTAGCACTGGATTGAATCAGTTATATGGTAGCAGATATCCGGGGTAGATTAATCAGGACACACTCAAACTTTTGTTAGTATCTGGCCTTGAGAGTAGATGGAGGTAAGGTACGCTTCTCGGAGCCTCGCTCCTTTTACCACCTAGTATTATAGTATTATGGCGGTAAGGCAGACCTCTCGGAGCCTCGCTTCTCTTACCACCTAGTACATACGTTAATATAGTGATAAGGCAGACTTCTTAGAGCCTCGCTTCTCTCATCGCCTCATATATAATATTATGGTGGTAAGGCAGGCTTCCTGGAGCCTCGCTCCTCTTACCACATAGTATATATGTTAAAATGGCGATAAGGCAGACTTCTTAGAGTCTCGCTTCTCTCATCGCCTAATATATAATACTATGGTGGTAAGGCAGGTTTTCCGGAGTCTTGCTCCTTTTACCACCTAGTATATATGTAAATATGGCGATGAGGCAGGCTTCTTAGAGCCTCGCTTCTCTCATCGCCTAGTATATAATAGTATTGTGGTAAGG